CTCTTCTATCCGGCCGTACCCCTCCCGTCTAACTTTTGTTCACATGACTCAGGCCTGGGTGCGATTCTCGTCGCTTCTGCATCTCAAGGTGCTAGACGAGCGCATCCAGCACCGACGGGTGCAGGCGGCGCGTAGTGCGCTCTACCCCGGAGTCTCGTCGTTGAGGTGAGATTTTTATCAAGTACAAGCGAAAAAAAACTGTTTCGAGAAAAAATCTGATTCGAGATAGCACACACAGTAGCAAAACCGACAGACACAGGGAGAGAGAGAACCAGAGGGAATATGACCTGCTATTGTACTCGCTCCATCCATCATCCATCACCCTTTACTTAGTATCCCGTGTTGCCGCAGACCCTTGTTGTTTTATTGCCTGTCCATGCCTCATGCTGCTGCTACTGCTGCTGATGAGGACGATGATGCCGTTATTTTGCTACTCCTGTTGCCCCTTGTACAGGACCGACGAGCGTCTTCTGGAGCGGATGACGCGGTCAGGACCGCCCACAAGCCACGGTGCGATCTTCGAAGTGCTAGACGACAACTCCAGGGGCCGAGTGCGTGCGGAGGGAAAGGGGGTTTACCGGCAGGTGAGGGTCATATCGTACGTGACGCATAATACCACCCCCACCCCCTAGACCGATGTTCAAAGCTCGATTGCTCGACAACCACGATTGTCTGTACCGTACCGTATACCGTACCGTATACCGTACCGTAGGTATTCCGATTGTTAGCACCAAGAATGGTGGCTTTGGAAAGCGTCTTGTCGAGGGCTTTCCGCACACGTATGGGGCTCTTTCCGCACCCACTTGATTGTAGGTTTTGTCATCTCTGCGTGAGGTACGTTCCACATCTTGGCCTGCGCTACGTCGTCCAAGGCGGTGCACGCTGGTTCGACGAAGGAGTGCCACCCCCCCCTCTCCTGATCCCAGCCAACACAAGGATGATGACCAGCTTCTGGGTCATGGTTGTGAAACGTAGCCTGGGCCGGCGAAAACCAGGCATATCGCTCCGTCATCCTGGCATTATTGTAGGGATGCGAGGTCTATGGTCTAACGACTACGGCATACGTCTACATGAGTACCAGCCGTGAAGTCGGTCTGCCGATGTTTGCTTAAAGCCTCATCTTTAAAAAAAAAAAAAATCCGTTGCAAACCCGGGTTGTTTGCAGACCCGGCAACCCAACAGCCGTGAGATGTGTCTATGGTACGTGGTAATGTTTGTTTGTTTTTTTCGTTCCTGTTGCAAAATCCCGCTTTTTTTTCAGGCGCAGCAAGCATTAGTTCTCGGAGGCAGAGACATCCCGCTCTTCCTCAGGAACATCCTGTGGCGTGTTGCCGCCGGAGGCGCCGAGGGCGCCGACGGTGACAGCGGCGCCGAGGATGGGCGAGGGGTCGACGACGGTTTTTCGGGGTCCAGGCGGACAGAAGACGTGCTGCTGCGGTCCCCCCAGCTGCTGCGATTCGCGGCGCACCTGGCGCTGGTGCTGGCGGCGCAGTGCCCGTACCTGACGACGATGGAGGAAGGCACGCTAGAGGCGGTGGAGGACGTTGTGCACGCGTACGCCCAGCACTTGGTCAAGGCCCAGCAGGTAATGTATGCCGGGACGGTTCCGCGCAGCAGTCTACGCAGGTTTTTCTTAGTAAAGCACGCATGTTAGGCTGGGTATGCGAGGGGTTTCGTGCGCCGCGTTTAGTGCGCCGCGCACGGCGACGCTACTGTAGGAGCAAGAACGCCAAGCGCCCAGACTTACCTTCCACAATTCCCGAGTTTGGACCTTGTGGTCTCCGGTATCCAAGGCTTTTGCCCGCTAGTTTGGACAGCCCACTGACCATAGGAACGGCGCCAGGTGGGAAAGCTTCAAGGCTGTTCGAGCCTGAAATGTAGCAAAGAAAACATTGGGGCTTGGATTGGCCGGCAGACAGCACAGCATGTCGACTCAACATGCCGAGAGTGAAGGTCCCGTAACACACAGATTATCATCATAGTGTGGCACCTACCTTGCCCATTCCAGCGGTCTTCCTAGTGGACACCCAGTCACTGCTGTCGATGACGCTGGCAGGAAGGTGCGCGTTGCATAGACCAGTTCTGACGGCGGTGTACTCTAGTATGCCTTCGGAAAGGGCGGCAAGGCTAACTCCTTCCAATGTACATTCATGTCCTCGCATCACTGCTGTCGATAACGCTGGCAGCGAGGTACGCGTTGCATAGACCAGTTCGGATGGCGGTGTAGTATGCTTTCGAAAACGGGAGCAAGGCTAGCTCCTTCCGCTGGATATCCATGTCCCCGCATCACTGTCGATAACGCTGGTGGCGAGGTACGCGTGGCGTAGACCGGTTCTGACGGCGGTGTAGTATGCTTTGGAAAACAGGGCAAGACTAACTCCTTCCGCTGTACATCATATCATCGCAAATACCGATGATATGGATGTACAGCGGACGGAGCTAGCCTTGCCCCGCTTTCGGAGGCATACTGAACCGCCGTCACAACCGGTCTACGCCACGCGTACCTCGCTACCAGCGTTATCGACAGTGATGCGAGAACATTGATGTACAGCGAAAGGAGCTAGCCTTGCCCCCGTTTTCGAAAGCGTACTACACCGCCATCAGAGCTGGTCTATGTAACGCGTACCTCGCTGCCAACGCTCGGGCAGCACTGCTGCGTGATTGGCGATTAGCCGACTTGCCACACTCCATCGCTCTCCTCGCCGTTGCTACTGCATACCGTATATGACACAAGATAACACACCCCGTGGACCAATTTTCAATGCTCGATTACTCCACGATGAAGAGGATTCATAAACGAAACGATACATTTTTGGAAAGCTCTCGACGAGACGGTTCCAACGCCGCCGTTTTCGGCGCCGTGACTCTTTCTGTTGTTGAGAAATCGAGATTTGAAAAATCGGTCCAGGGGGTATGTTATCTTATGTCATACGGTAACGCAGGAATCGTATAATTGTAGGTGCACAGAACTTACCACAACCTCTCCTAGAGGCTTTGCCATTGTAGCCAACGTGCCGAGCCTTCGGCGACTCTACATGTCGGGAGAAAAACTTCCAGCGAGTGGCGCTTCAACGACTCGTTGGATGTCCTCCAGAGGTCCAGGGTGCTCTGTTAAGAGTTAACCCAACCCTGGTGAGGACGAAAGCTGCGCCCGGAACAGTTGGTCCACTGCTGCTTTCTCTTGAGACAAGGAAGTATGTCCGGGATAACGGCCTTCCGCCAGAAGGAAGCATGTCCCGGAGATCGGCCTTCCGCCACCACCCCTTTTTGATTTGGGGAGCCAAGCGGCACGGGGGCGTCCTCCTCATTTTTCTCGTCGCCTTGGTCTTTCTCTCCTGCTGCTGTGGCCGCAAGACGGGAGGGGTGGACGGGGAAGGTGAGGGAGCGTCCTCGTCCTTCGTTTCGCCCTCGTCTATCTCCTGCTGCTGTGATACAGTATTTGGCAGGACGGGAGGGGGAGAGGTTGGAGGTACCGGAGCGTCCTCGTCTTCCGTTTGCGCCTCATTCGTGACCTGGACGAATCGAGCCTCTCGCCCATCGCCGGTCGTCCTGAACGTTAACAGTGACTCACGGGAAAAATGTCAGCCGCGTTCCTTCCGGTCTATCAAGTCTGCGCGTGCTGGAAGAGAAGTCACTGCAGTGGGGGCGTCGGTTTAGCGACCCCCTGCTTAGCGACATGCCGTGTGTTGCGACCCCCACAATCTCGAGACATCGCTGCACCCCGTTTAGCGACCACGTGGTCGACCCCACAATAGCAACTTATTGAGCAGTTTTCAACGAGAAATGGCGACGATCGGTGCAAATTTGAGGGCTGTGTTCTCGTTAACGATTACATTCATGTCGGCATAATTTCAAGCGTTAACCAGAAACCACGGTGCAATACAGTTTTTCTTGGTAAATTCCGTACGGTAACTGGTCACCATGGTCATTTTCTTGAATAGTAACCAGCCACCACGGTAATGCACCGGTTGTGCATTCTTTCTACGGTATCTGGTACAGATAACTACATCATGGCACGTCGGGCCCTGTTTCGTTTGCTTGCTTTGAAGTGTTCCTCAAGTGTGTGCTTTCAGCACAACCAACTTGCGCGACACGTTCACCGAGCATCGCGTTCGTCAACCAAACCGGTCGCATAAAAAGAGGGTGAAAACCAGACAGCATAGTCTATACTCACTTCAAGACGACGCGAGTCCAACGCTGCGCCAAGTAATTACGTAATTTTGGCATCGTCAGAAAGGGCAGGCAACAAGCAAGCGCCGTCTTCCTCAAATACAGAGAAACGACGGGACTCAACGGTTCAACAAACATGACAAGGAAACAACCCCGTACGCAACAGGCGCCCACATGAAACACCAAACCACCAACACCTTAGTCAACAATAGGTAGCACGTACCTACTGGCTCTAGAGAGGCAGTGGTCAGTTTACTGCGGTGGACAGCATTAATGTACCTCGTGTCTCTGTGCGGTACATGGGGTCTTGTTGTTCGTACGGTAATGTACTCCACGGGACCTCGACAGCACGGGAACTGCGATTTTCGGGCGGCAGTGTTTTGTGCGGTAATGGGAAGACTCAAGGGCGTTAATGGTAATTCTTACTTTTCACGGGATCACGGGAAACGGTAATTACCGTGGTTTTACGGCAGTAAAATTACCGCGGAGAAAAATTAGCGAGGACAGCCCTGAAATTGTGCAGATACCCCGCGTTCCTACACACACAAACGACACGTGGAACCCGTAAACACACGCAACATGCAGTGCGCCGATCGAGAGTTGTGCAAACAGCCGGGTGTGGAACTGCGGGCACCCCAGGGGCATGATTGCCAAGGTGGCTACCGTGCACGCCTGCACCGCGTGTGTGGGCAGGTGGAGGTTCTCGATGGCGTCGAGATGCACCGCACCTGCCACGCGTGTGCATCCAAGAACATGCAGGCTTCCCCACCCGTCTCGAATCCACCCAAACGTAAAGAGAGATGGAGGTAGATGGGGCGTGGGGAAGTCATGGCGCCGCCGCCCAGCGTTCGTCGCATTTTGGATCGCTGGAAGAGTGCGCGGAGTCTAGGCCTGTCCTCCATCGGCCGTTTTGCTTGTATGACGGAGAATAAGAAGGTGGAATTACTTGAAATTAGTATAGAAATAAAGTTTGTGTATCTACATCGAAAATAAAACGGCCGATGGAGGACAGGCCTAGCGGAGTCGTGTGGGTTAGCCGGGCCAACGTACTATTTTGGCGAGGGAATGGTGATGCTCATCTACGGCGCGAAACCAGCGCGATAGACGGACATGAGATATATGTTTAGTTAAGCATGATCGGTACACGCGACAGAGTAGCAGGATGAAGGCACTAGATGGCAGCACGAGGTTCTTTGCCGCTTGGGCGTTCACGAACTTTCTCCGTGCCGTGTGGGGGGCGCTTTTACTTTGTGTTTTGTGGGAGTTGCCAATATTGTTGCCGCTTTACCGCCTTTGTTTTTTTATAACTCACAGATCGGACTTTATTATAATTCACAGATCGGACTTGTATGTGAATAATTCAAGTATGTGAGAGTATGTGTTGATGTAGAGACAAATTGTTGAACACGCGGGGAAAAAAAAAGACTCAAGGCACCACCCTCTGAACACTTTTTGTCAAGACATTTCCTAAAAACTTCGGGGGGTACCACAAGCTTTCTGGTTAATTGGAATGCAGTTCGTGTATGTAGGAACTACTCCCCGTTTGTCCGCCCGAAGGTGTTTGTTCTTTTCTCTACCTTGGTACAGTGTGACTGCGGCAACACGACGCGTTCATGACCCGGTCAAGCAGAATTCTGCAACACGGCCTTCAGTCCGACGAAGTGACGCTTTTTTCCGGTCAAGCGACCAGTAGTCCCTACACCGGGTGTAGCGACATGCCCCTTATAGTGACCACATTTCGTCGTGGAACTAAAACAGGCGTCGCTACACCGGGCTTTTCACTGTATTGCACTTCTACTAGCTAATGCCATTCTCGTGTGACCTTGGTCGTGGTTCGCACGATTTGGCAGTTACTCTGTCGGGAGTATTTCCCTGTCCTTCAACGGAAACGCGGGGCATGGTTTGCAATCCTTTCTCCTATCCCACAAACCTCGTGGCGCGAAAAACGTGTCGTGCCAACAGGTACGAGAGACGTGTTCATGGTCGGGGCTATTCGAAAGTACACTTAAGAAAAGGGTGATACAAACGAATCGAATGCCGCTAGTCTTCAGGGGCATCGTGAGAGCCAGTTCGAGATTTAGACGGTGGCGATTTTAGTGTGGAACACGACGGGATATCTGCCGCAAGAGGGAGTGAGAGGGAAGGAAGGATCTTGGACAACGGTACGGAATAATCATGACCAAGAATGGCGAACTTCTGTCTTTGACCGTCTAGCATTCAGTCCCGGTGATGGCGAGGCGGGCGTGTTGGTGTCCGAGATGTATTTTTTCAAGTCTCGTCCAAATTTTGTACCGAGGAAGTATAGAGTCGGCTAGGTTGGGGTTGGGGTTGGGGTTTCAGTCCGCGTGCCCCCTACCTGGTCTTTTGTCGTAGTAACCTTACTTTGTTTTCGTGGGCAGTCCGTTCATCGCGCTTCTACTGCTGTATTGGGGACATAAGGCTATATCCTAGACCAAGGATGGAGGGAGAGAGGGAGTCATCTCCCGGAACGTTTTGGCCTTACCGCCATCTCATTAAAAAATTTGCTGTGACGTTATCTTATGGGAACAAATTCCGTGAAGTCATGTCACGGAACGTTTCTACGTTTCTACCCTGACGTCATCTCACCGACCGTTTTTGCTGTGACGTCATCTCACGGGTGACGTCATCTCACGGAAAACAATTGCTGTGACGTCATGTCACGGGAACATTGTTTCCTGCGTCTGGCGTAAAAACTACTCTTTTGATACAACAGGTTGGTCTCGTGGCCATCTACGCTTCCACCCTGCCCACTCGCCGGCGGCGTGAGCTTTACGCCGGGTTTCTACGGTCCCTGGAAGGCGAAGGTAGCCGCCGCGAGGCCCTGGAGCAGGCCAAGAGCCACATGCCCGGAGACGTGCCGGCCATCCTCAAGAAGGTAGCATGGGTGTTTGTTGTCGTCGTTTGATTGGTCTACGTTGACAGTCCAGTTTATTTTTCGGGAGGTGGTTCATGGGTCAGCACGACGCCCTCAGAAGGTTCTACAAGGCGTGTACGGCAACTGCTTTTCCGGGGGGATGACGGAGTCATGCCGACAAATGTTTCAGTATTGCATCAAAACGTGCCTTCGAAAACTCGCGTTTCTTCTCTTTGTTTTTGTCTCAACATCTAGGTGGTAGAAGACGTGCGGCTGCATACGGTGTCGGTGGCTTCAAGTGCCATGCCGAAGCAAGTGCCGGAGGGAGATCTGAAAAAGATCAAGGCCATGTCGTGGCTGCTTGATCACCCGGATACGCAAGCCGAAGCGGTCATCCAGGTGCGAGGAAGTTGCGTTTGCAGCGATTCGGCTACTTGACAAAAATATGTATCCTCGCGATTTAAAAAAGTAAACATATTTAGCACCAAGCACACTACCGCTTTGCTCGAGCATGTGAGCAAGCAGCCAGGTGGCGGACCAATCAAACAACGCGTGTGGTGAACCAAGCAAAACGCGCGTTCGGTGGACCATATATGCTGTACACATGCTGCTGTGACCCAGCATACAGCAGACTGCTGACATGTAGCGTACAGCGGGTTCTACGGCTACTCAAAGAAAGTAGCAGAGACTACTGTTGAGGACATCGACACTTGTACTATACTGCTGTGTGAACACTTGGACTTCATGAAACACGTACAGCGACGCATCATACATAGCCACACACATTCCCAGCCACTGCTGCTGGTACACATGTTTTGATTTCAGAGAAGCTGTGTGTAGATCTGTACACGCGCTGTATCTGTACAGCATTAGCATCATGCACGGGACGGAACCCCCGCATACCCCGCGTTACAAATTCTTCAAGCGGGAAGGGGGGCGGGCAACACTTCCGACATATATTTCTCTCGCTTCTTTGCGCCCGGGCCTGCGGGAGGCGCGTCCCCGCAACATCAAAAGGCTCACCAATACAACACAGCAGCACGCGCCCTGGCAAGCACCACTGCAGGCAACCCATGCACACACAAAAGCTACCAGACTGCTCGGCTGCATGCACCCGTGGGCCACTCGGCTAACCGTGGGAACCCCTTGGCAGGGGGGCCTGCCCTGTAAGCACCCTGTGGGGGCGCTGTACAGGGTGCCAATGATAATGGTAACAGGGCGTGAGGAACCACGCTGGGAAGGTGTTCTGTGAGGATGAAGCCGACCATTGCCTATACTTCATGAGACTTTGTGTTGTCCTCGCCACTCAGTCTCTGCACTTTCGTCACATCACAAACGTCTATCGTAAACCGCCTTCTTAGCGCCGAAACCCCGAACGCAAGGAGAATTGGACTGTACCGGAGATGCTCTTCTGATGGAGGCGAATCATACAGCAGTTTGAGATCTGTTCGCTGCTGCTTAGCTTCGACAGTGCGATCCACTGACGGTGGTCTTTGTGCCACAGACGGTCTGTGTGTAACATGTACACGACGAGCGATTGAAGGACGAACATTTGGAAAACCTTACAAACAGCGCGATGTCAGGTTCACCCCGCCATCTTGCGCATATGTTTGCAACCCACGCCCAGCCAAATAGATGACGCCCATACCCACCTACCGTAGCCGCACCACACCATCGAGCCACTTGTTCAAGACGCCACGACGCGCTCAAGTCGCAATGGCGCCGGCAACGACCTCTTTACCGACCGATACAGCATCCCTCCCCACTTTCTTCTGTTGTGCTCCAAACGTTTGTGCAGCAAATGCGCATCTATTTGTACCACTTGAGGCCCAACGCGCTCACACCCTTCAAGTACAAACACGTGCCCTTGTGAGGGATATTTGAGGGACAGTCTTCTGGGAACTGCGTCTGGATCCGGTACTCTCCACCCTTCCTCTTGGTATTCTTGTCGACGCCGTGCAGCATACAGCACGGTAGCATACCCAAAAAACGAGAGGGGTATGGGGCAGGAATTTAAACACCGGGGGCGACATCAGCACCAACACACGATGTTCGAGTCCAATGTTACTGCAACCTCGGCTTATCCTCGGCTTATCCTCAGCAACCTCGCCGTATCCTCGGCAACCTCGGCTTATCCGTATCCTGGGCTTATCCGTATCCTCGGTTTATCTTCGGCATCCTCGGGTCATCCTCTACAACCTCGGCTTATTCTAGGCTCCTCCTCAGCAACCTCGGCTTATCCTCAGTAACCGCAGCTTATCCTCGGCTTTTCTTGAGCAACCTCGGCTTTATCCTTGGCAACCTCGGCTTATTCTCAGAAACCGCGGCTTATCCTTATCCTCGGCTTATCTTCGGCACCTTCAGCTCATCCTCAGCAACCTCGTGTTGTCCTCGGCAACCTCGGCTCTTCCTCAGCAACCGCAGTTTATCCTCATCAATCTCGGCTTATCCTCATCAACCTCAGCTTATGCTTATAAACATAGGCTTATCCTCAGCGACCTCGGCTTATCCTAATCGATCTCATCCTCATCATTCTCGGCTGATCCTCATCAACCTCGGCTTATCCTTATCAACCTCGGCTGATCCTCATCAATCTCGACTAGTTCCCATATACCTGGGCTCATCCTAATCAATCTCGGCTTATCCTCATCGGTGTCGGCTTGCCCTAATCAATCTTGACTCATTCGCGGTAACCGGCTTATCTAAATCAATCTCGGCTTATCGTAAGCAATTCCGGTTGCTTTCCTCATCAAACTCGGCTTATCCTCGTCAACCTTGGTTTATCCTCATCAATGTCGGCATATCCTAAATCAATCTCGGCTAATCCTCAGCAACCTCGGGTTATCCTGATCAATTTCGGCTTATCCTCAGCAACCTCGGTTTGTCCTCAGCAACCTCGGCATATCCTCAGCAATCCCGGCTGATCGCCAGTATCCTCGGCTTATCCTCATCAATCTCGGCTGATGCTCATCAATCTCGACTCATTCACATTGACCTGGGCTGATCCTCATCAATCTCGGCTTGTCCACATCAATCTCGGCTGATCCTCATCAATCTCGACTCATTCGCATTGACCTGGGCTGATCCTCATCAATCTCGGCTTGTCCTCATCAATCTTGGCTTATCTTAATCAATCTCGGCTGATCCTCATCAATCTCGGCTTGTCCTCGTCAAATTCGGCTTATCCTAATCGATCTCAGCTTATCCTCATCAATCTAGGCTCATCCGAAGCAATCTCGGCTTATCCTATTCGATCTCGGCTTATCCTCATCAATCTCGGCTTATTCTTAGCAATCTCGGTTGATCGTCAGTAACCTCTGCTTATCCTAATCAATCTCGGCTCATTTGCAGCAATCCCGGCGTATCCTCATCAACCTCGGTTTGTCCTGAGCAACGTCGGCATATCCTCAGCAATCTCGGCTGATCGTCAGTATCCTCGGTTTATCTAAATCAATCTCGGCTTATCCTTACCATCTCGACTCATTCGCGCTAAGCTTTGCCTAGCCCAACGAATCTCGGCTTGTCCTAATCAATCTCGGCTTATCCTCCTCAATCCCGGCTTATCCGAATCAATCTCGACTCATTCGCATTTACCTCGGCTCATGCTCATCGATCTCGGCTTCATCCTCATCATTCTCGGCTTATCCTAATCAATGTCGGCCTTTCCTCAGTAACCTCAGCTTATGCTGAATGCTAAGCAATCTCGGCTTATCCGAATCAACCTCGGCTTATCCTCATCAGTTTCTAGTTATCCTTGGCTTGTCCTCGGCCTATAATCGGCTTGTCCTCGACTTCTCGTCGGTAGTCATTTCTTATCGCTGATTTCTGTCATGGTTCCAATTGATGTCATTACGCTATTCATGAGGGAACATGGACGAATCGGCAAGCTCAAGCGTGAAGAGGTGTTTAGCACCAGAGCGAGAGGCTCGAAGCTCGAAACTTGCCAAACAATCGAAAAACCTCAGTTGGTGGGTGTCCCAAGGCGAATTTATGTTCGACAAGGCGAAACCAGCCTCATAGTGGCGGCGACGATACAAGGGAGTCGATAAACACGAGAAAGGACGCATATTTTTTCATTTATTTACAGCATTTATCTTGTCTTCACTTCAAATCAGCGCCTTCAGCACGCATAAAGGGGAGTCAAAATCGATCTGTGACGGCCATGGAAAAATGCATGTATTATAGTACTACTCGGTGCTCTACGAATAACATGTCCACTGGACTATTTACAGTTGGTGTCGTGATCATGGGAAGGGTCCGTCCCTCTACCCAAAAAGGGGCGATGTTGTGGTACTCATCCAAAGTGTACCGTGGTGTCCCGTGATCTTGTCCCGTAGAAATGTGGTACGAGATGATGGGGACATTCCTGCATTTTCAATGCGTATATCCCCCCGCCCTCCTGACGTACAACGCGGCGACGTGGTTGTTTTTTGCTCCTTGCGATGCGTGTGTCTTCGCCCACCCCTGATGGATAAAGAAGGCGAACGCGCCGATTTGGTTTATTTACGATGCTTGTCTTGCCCGTGACAAACAAAGAGGAAGAGGCTACCGCGCTGATCTTTTTCACTTCCCTTTTTTTGTTTGAGTCCATTACGCACCTTTCTCTCGTCATCTGGCATAATAGGTCTCCACACCAAAACGCGTGACGCATGTGTATATTTTTCGGAACCGAACGAGCGTAACGCCGTACTAGTAGCCGGTTGGAGTGCGATTATTGCTCTGGAGCGAACAAAAAAATGGCAAATATCGCAACCCCAGGCTGAGAAAAAAGTTCCTGTGTCAGCGAGTGCCTCTATGCCAACCAGGCGAGTGGCGACACGATGTTGACATCGCCTTGCCTCTCCGAATGTCCCTGAAACACCCGAGTGCCCACAGAACCGACCGTATCCAACCCGCAGCGCGCTGAACACTCCAGGTTGGATGCGGTCGGTCCTCTTCGCAGTCGGGTGATGGAGGAAGCTCGTGAGCGGGAAGGCGGTGTCAACACGGTGTCGCCTCTCCCCTAGCTCACGCCGTACTTGAGCACCGTCGTTTTTATCCTGTACAATGTGACTAACCCCGACTGTTACGTCCAGAAATCCTGTTTGCAGTCCCTATTTAGTGCCGGTGCCCGGTACAGTGCACGAGTGTCCACTCCTATGCTAAAACTTATGTATTAAGTACATCTGTTCCGAAAAACGTCGGTGTCTGGTAAGTGCTGGTGAATTTTCTTGGCATTCTGGCATTAAACAGGGACCTCTACTGTACACCGAAGGGTGTTAAAAAAAGACGGACGTCGTCCAGAATATGAAGTGATCAAAACTAAATGAACTGCGGTAGTTGGTGTCTTCATATTTTATCGCGAGAAGGGTGTGTGGATGAGAAACTTGGCCCTTCTTTCTCAAACGAAACTGTTCCGATATCTCTATCCGGAACCTCAACGGTATACCCGTCCGTACTGCGGTGGAGAACAATTGAATTTCTCGTCGTCTGTCTGTCACGCGTGACCCAGAAGTTACATGGTCACCTTGTCGCGGCGCGAGGTGAGGTGTAAAAGACCGACTACAACAGAGAATACCAGGTGTTCCTGCGAAAACACTATGTAAGATTCGGTGGAAAACAATTATTTCGCTCTCGTTGTTCGCCACGCGTGCACGAGCCTTGTTGCCGCACGGGGTACAAAGGATGGCTGCTGCCGGAGGTAGATGGGGCCTCCATCCCCTCCCTTCGGGTGGGCACGGCGCCGCCACCGTCACGCCCTCCATGACCTCCTTCCAAGCTTCGCTGCCATCTGAGAGGAGTCCTGTCCCGGGTTCGTCCCGGGTTCGGAAAGTCCCCAGCTCGGTCGGCCCTCGTTCCTCTTTGAGTTGTTTGTCGAACGCCGTGCGGAGGCTAATGTCAAACTGCGTGGACGTGTGAAGGGTGATCACCTTGTAAAGAAGCACGATGACTACTAGACCACAACTCAGCCGCTGACTTGTGGTCTATCGGTCATCGCTCTTTTTCATACAATAGGTGGCCATGCTCCACAGGCCCGTGGAGTTTGATATTGGCCTCGGGATGCCATCGGGTGATACCTTGAGAGGAACGAGGGCCGACCGAGCGGGGGATTTTCCGGATTCGGAAGCGGGTTTCAACGGCAACGAAGTTTGGGAGGAGGCCCCGGTCACCACCGGCTGCAGCCGTCACCTGACATCCCCGTACCTCTACTAGGCTACACGACGATGTTGTTGTACGAGGGGGTGCCATGTTAGTGTCGCGATTGGGAGGCAGCCGCTCGCATCCCTGACAAACAAAAGCCAGGCGAACAGGCTGTTTACTGTTCTTTTTCGATTCGCATCTTCCCCCCTCACACCCCTAATAGTCAAGCCAGGCGAGCCCGCTGATTTTCTTTTTTTTTTCGGTGCGTATCACCGCGCTCGCCCCCTTGAAAATCATACAAAGCAGGCGAACGCGCTGGCCCGCCACCTGGTGCTCCAGACGTACCAGCAGTCCGTCATCGGCGGCGGTAGCGGTGCCCGGGGAGGGGGGCTTCTGTCTTGGGCGGCGGGGGGGGGAGGCGACGAAGCCGACTACGACGAATCGGAAACGCCGACGGTTCTCTCGGCTCGCCTGGAGGCCGTGCAGAAGCTGCTGGAGTCGGTGGCATCGTCGTCACCTCCACAGGAAGGCGGGGATGCCAGAAGAGATGGCGCCATGGTAGTGGCGGAGGCGGCGGTGAACGGCGACGCTGGGCGCGAGCGCGAGTGCTGGGCGTTTCTTTTGGGGGCCCGGGAGGCGTACTTGGCGTGGGCGGAGGCTTGCCGTGGCGAGGGGGGAAAGGCGGGTGTGGGAGAGGAGGACGCCGTCCGCGACGCTGCGGAAAGGGCGATGGCGGCGTTTGACGGAGTGTTGACGTACGAGGTGGGTAGCTGGTGGAGAGGGTTGAGGGAGGTGCTGGACATGCGAGTTAAGCTAACGAAAAGGACTGCTGTGGTTGTATCAAGAACCGGCAGAGCAAGATGTGTACTCGCTCAGCGTAAAAGACTCGAACAGTACATCCCCTTGGGACAGCTGTGGTTATATCTTGAACCGGTGGAGCAAGAAGAGAAGCCACTCACTGTAGACTCGAGCACATCCCCATGGAACTGCTGTGGCTATATCTCGAACCCCTAGTCTCTCTGTGATCGCATGCCGATATTCTGAACATGTGTGAGGGTAGTGCTGACATGGTTCAATTCAAGCTGGGGTGGTGGAAAGGAATGAGAACGGGTGCTGGGCATGCGAGCGAAGGCGGTGTTGTGCTTGTTGGCTGGCAGGCTACGAGGATGGTGGTGTTCTCGTGTAGTGTAAGTTTTTGTTTTAGGACCAATGTTACCCTAGAAACGAGCAATTAGACCCGAAGTCCATTGGCCGGCCCTCCCCTTCACGCATCGACCGCCGTTGAAGAGGGCCAGGCCTAGGCGTAATGTAAGGGTACTTGCCTAGGCACCGTTGTAACATTTGAGCCCAGCGCTTGAATTACGGTCTCCCCAACGGTTTTTAGATTGGTTTCCTACCTTCAAAATTGTACAAATCCAACGAGTACTCCTCGCAGGCTGTCTCGCTCACACACACGCCGCCCCTGGGTTCTGTGCACGCAAGCAGGACGGCTGGATGTACCCACAAGACCCCGCCATCGCCGCGGATGATAACGCCTCTCTGGGATCGTGGGTGGACTTGGGAGACGGCAGCGACGGAGCAGAAGAAGTAGGGGCGGCTGTGGCGGTGCCCAACAACAGCATGGTGGTTTCCTTGCCCGTGGACTACGGGGTCGGCGGCGATGATGTTGGGGTGTCGCAGGAGGAGAGAAAGGCGAAGGAAGTGGCGGAGGCTAGGCGAAAGAGGGAGAGGGAGGAGGAGGAGGCGATCAGGGCGGTGGAAGAGACGGCGAGTCGGGCGGAAGAGGCCGCGAGGAGGGAGGAGTTGCTGGGAGTTCGTGCGGCGTGCTTGCCGGGGCTCGTCTTCTTGGCCCATGAGGTTAGCTGTTGCTGCTGTTGCTGTTGTGATTGTTGTCCTGTCAATGTCTGTTGCGGTTGCTGTCCGTCATGACTGGCAGGAGCCTGATGATGTGTCGTAGCAAGACTCTACGTGGGAGTGGTAGTATGCTTATGACCTACTTGGCCTGTTATTTTTTGTTGTTGTTGCTATTATTGTTGATATTTGTGATCGCTGTCTCGTCAGGAACTGACGGAGAACTGACGGCAAGTCAACAGTCTGAAAATGTGTCGGGCCATACTCTGCCTCCAATTCCGGCGTATGTTTTGAAACAGCGAAAGACGCTGTGTGTATGGCCTGGTTTTGTGTACAACCCGTTCAGTGCAAAACGTGGAGGTTTGGCGGTACGGGGACTGAGAACAATGCGCGTGTTGTACACTGCATGCTCCTCGCTCCTCGCTACTTCTTTTTGCTTGCTTACCATGGTGCACTGCTGCCTCATATGCTCACGCTGCTTTTAGTACCCCCTTTTCGACGCTTCTATGCTACCATTCTGCTTCCCTCCCCCCCCCCCCCCCCCCCCCCCCCCCCCCCCCCCCCC